GTAAGCTGGTATCAAATAAATTTGTTCACACTCTGAAAAATTGAAGAGATTCAGAAATAATTAGCATTTTGTATTGAAAACCAAAAAGTGTTAGTTGGTTGGAAGTAATCTGCTGGAAGAACTGGATCTGGTTTCGTACTTGTTGGCACTCATCAGTAAGGCTTACCTGAAACCTCGATGGAACTGAAATCTCGCCTGAGATTTCAACCTGTCATCCAGTGTTGTAGTCAACGTCTTTATCACTGAGCTATTCGGGCCGCGACTGACCTCATGTACTGATTGATCAGGGGAGAGCAACCAGTTTCATGTTGTCTAGTCCTGAGTGCAGTCGATGACTAAAACATTGGATGACACGAGTTTGAATCTCAGGAAGGACATCAGTTCCGTCGAGGTTGCAGATACGCCCTACTGATGAGTGCCAGCAATCACGAAACGTAGGTTCAGGGCTTTCTGCCGACTGTCACCAACCAACTAAAATCTGTAAATGTCTGTCAGGATGCTGAGCCTCATAGCTTGGTGGCCACGTTGCAAATATGCTCGATAGGATTCCGTCTGTACTCAGGACTAGACAATATGAAGCTGGTCCCTTTCCCGTAGCCATTCAATACAAAATCAAGGAGTACTGGAAAGCTGTTTTTAATCGTTCTCCAAATGATGCTTTGCGTTAGTTCCATACACCGAAATTCCCTTTGACAGTTTGTGACAAACGATTTACTGTATGTTAAATATAACTAACTTCAAGTGAGCAGTGAACTTTGTAAAAACATGTATCACTAACAACCTGCCTTATCTTGGGGATACCAAAACTTTTCCACCCAGTACTATGTTTTAGGAATTGTCTTTGTGCGAACTTGACAGACGCAGAAGCCAATTACTAATTATTCATACCTGTAATATACTCACGAATACGAGACCAAGGAAGAACACAATAGCGTAGTTGGATGAATAGTATATTTCCTAAGTCGTGCCAAAATACCGATTCGTTGCAACTAGCTGGCTAGAGAATCGATTACGAGCAGTGAAACGTAACATGATAGCGTGCCAAATGACGTGGATGCTTGACCGTGTGCCTTCAGCTTAGCGAGTCAGGTAAACTTATGAACGTCAGCATCAATGTTGAATCTCATCGAACCCTAGGCTATTGATTCTGGAGAAGTATATGACACTACAATGTACTCTTATGCATTCGTTAAGTGTTTTTAACTTATCGTTTTACAAGTAATCAATAAAGTAATCAGGAATCATCATGATGGATGGAAATGGGCCTTTAAAGTCACGACATTACATTATGTAACTATTGGAGAACTATCGAAAATTAAACTGTACATTCTCTTCTCTATACGATGAACCGCAACCATCGCCACGAAGCATAAGCTTACTTTTCTATTTCTCCTCTCTCCTTCAGACTAGAGGAGATAGTGATAACAGTACTGGCGATAGCTTATTTTAACCTTCGATACCATTATTGTTCATATTACAGAGATACTACAATGATTTCATTTAAAAGTATTGTACAAAGAGTAAATTTGTTAAAATATTACATGCTAATAATTTGATACTGTATCTAACATACTGTCTGAAATAACTAAGTGAGATTTGGAAATATTTCAAGTTGTTATTCATCGAAGACTGACATCAGTTGGAGGAACAAAGGAAACCTGGGAGAACTGGACAGCCGTTTCGTCCTAGTATGGGACTCCTCAACAGTGCGCACCCACGACCCCACCAGCAGGGATCGAACCCGCGGCCTTCAGGTTCCGCGGCCAGCGAGTAACCATTGAGCCACTGGGTCAGAATCTAATGCTCCATAATTCCAACTTCTATTGGCTCACATACTAGGACGAGACGGCTGTCCAGTGCTCCCAGGTTTCCTTTGTTCCTGCAACTGATGTCAGTCTTCGATGAATAACAACTTGGAACTAAGTGATTATTAGAATTATTTAAGTATCATATAAATTGGCTTTAATATGGACATATGAGGAACTCTATCTCTTTTCCATGGCCATAAGATACATCCTGTTGTAAGCGTTTTCGTCAGCTATTTGTGTTCACATCATAACCTTGTAATTTCAATATTTTGAGGTCATATCTTAGAAATCAATCCACCCACTATTAAGAGCGGTGATTCATTGGTTTACGCCTTTAAGTTTTCAGCAATGGATCTCTACTTCGAACTCCAATCTACCTAGGTCGACCTAAGTAACCAAGTAGTATCATAAGCTATCACATAACATATAGCTGATAGCCTAGTAAATAAAATATGTACCATTTTGAGTTGCATTCATATTTTTCTCTTCTTCGCCATTATTTTGTTTACTGTTAATTAATAAGGAGAAAAATCAATAATCACATCTCACACTTATTTGAAATTCTTGATATCGATTATACTAATCAATACACAAATGTATTCCAACACTTGCGATAACTAATTTCAGTGTATACGTAAGTGAAGATAAAAATGACGAAATGTCTATACACCGAATAAAAGAATACGTGCGCACACACTCATTTAAGCACATATATATATACACACGCAACAAACATCAGCTGTATAGGCTAAACATCGATTGAGAACATAAAAGTGAGATAAGGAAGAGTCTAGAAGAAACTTAATGAACCATTATATGCAAAGAGAACTTATATTTTTTCTCACTGCATTTCTTCTCTCACTTCTTTTGTGTCTCTCTTTTCTGTTTATTACTTCTTTCCATAAATTCATTTCGTTTTTTAAATTAAAAGAGAAATTCAGAGTAAGTTAACTATGGTATTATTAAAGAAATAGAGAAAATACTCAGAGTAGGACGAAACGCTTATCCTGGATTCCTCTGTTAGTCACAACCAAGTGAATTATCATAATAAATATTGATTAGGTTCAAAAATGTTTATGATTGTCTTCAATTAAAGTATTAGGAAGGAAGAGGAAACAAGACAAGGAATGGATCTCGACGGACACATGAAAGCTGATAGACGAGGGAAGGTGGTGAAGTAGAAGATAAACCAGTGCAGTGCACGGATGAACAACGAGAAGAGGAACTGAGTACAACCTATAAAGCACTTCACTGGACAAAGAAGTGAAGAGTGCACGGAAAGGCGAAAGACACTTCTTCGCTGGAGAGCAACTAGTTTCATGTTGAATGCTAACCGACCGACTTCGGTCAGTCCTTTTACAATATGACCAACCAGCTAGTAGGTGCACTTTGATGGATGTTATCTGATTCGAGGGAGCCATCAAGAAGCCCTGAACTTTGGTTTCGTGCTTGTTGAAACTTATCAGTAAAGTGTATCTGCAACGTGACTATAACACTGGATGGCACGGGTTCGAATCTCAGGAGGGACATCATTTCCATCGAGGTCACGAATACGTCCATCTGACGAGTGCCAACAATCACGAAAAATAGGTCCAGAGATTCCTGCTGATTCCAAGAAAAGTCGTGGTTGAGGATAACTACCATCTTCAACTTTTCATCGACATAAACATAACTTATAAGTCTTATAAAACGATATCCCCCTATGTGCCGAAAATATTTTCCCCTTAAAACTGAAATTTACAAGTGATCGAGTGTTTGGTGCTCTAAAGAACAGGCTATCAAACTCTCTTTGGAGGACATTCTGTGCGGCAACATTGCGATTACTTGCGCATTGTTCTGTATCTACTCGAAAGATAAACTATCACAGCCAGCCAATTCTGCGTGTATATGTAAGTTCATCCACTCTTGTGAAGCGAAGAATATGAGTTTTTCAATACCATCCAAAATAGTCTAAGAACACTATCCTCACTGACTGAAAACAGTTGACAGTATACCAGTCAGAGGTACCATTATTGAACACATTGCCAACAGGGAATACTCGGTTTCAAGCTTCTTTATAGTATAAAACCAAACCTTCTGAAGAATATCTGTTTTTGATCAAACGTTTTCTTAGTGTTTATCTTTTTCTCTATAACATTTTGGCTAAAGATGCTTGGGATATGAGCAGCAAGGGATGCGCTTAAATATCTCTTCCAAACAGTGGGCACTCAGCTGTAGAAACTAGTCAGTTGCCGGTCCCATGTAGGCTTTCTATGAATCAACCATCTCAAAGTTCCATCAGTCTTTCTTACTAATTCTACATCAAGATAGGAAATCTTTGATCCCTTTTCTATTTTGGTAGTGAATTTCATCGTCGAGTGTCAGTTATTACATACGCCCAATACATGATTCAAGTCACATATATGATTACAAAGAATGAAAATCGGACACAAAAGGCATATTTGGAACATAGCAACTTGCGTCATCTCTGGCGCCAACTAGCGAGATATCCAAGTGTTTGTTAAAGCACGAGTAAACTGAGTTGTAGTTCGTTCTCTCATCTTATACATTTGTGAGACACGACCATTAAAATTAGAAGGCATGAAGCGGTTTCACAGTTTCTGTCACAAGTGTCTTCGTAGCTTTGCTCGTGTTTGGTAGAATCGCCGTGTAAGCAATTTTAAGGTCAGGAGAAGGGTACTAGGTAAGACAGGGAAGTCGACTGAGATGACTTGGACATGTACTGGCCATGCCGTGTCACCCCCTACCCCGACGTTTCATGCTGGTGGCAGAAGTTGGATGAGAGTTCAGGGCGGCAAGACTAAGACCCAGCGCCAGCCAATGAAGTCTGCTACTGATGGTTGGAGCCTTGTGGGGATATGCTGGCTATCTGTCTGGAGTCCCCGAGACGAAAAGAATCAATGGTTGAGGAGTCTTGATGACATGCCTCAAAATCGGTCACAATGACTCAGACATTTAAACCTTCTGATGTATCCTAAAGCTTGAATATTCACAATAACTTTTATCTTCAAAGTGCTTCTTCTCTCACACAACTTTGTCTGCTTTGGAATCACACTTTTTAGATCCTCCTGTTCTTTGAATACTAGTGTGAAGTGTGGCAACTTGAACTGATTCACTTTCGTGCTAGGTTCTACGTTGATTGGGTCTGTCTGTGTGATTATTGGCTTCAAACGGCCATTTTCCAAACTAGTGATGACTCAATCTGACGTTAATGGACTGAAGGGCTGTCCAATAGAAATTCTGTCTTTCTGTATATATATCTTGATCAATTTCACTACTACTACTACTACTACTACTACTACTACTACTACTACTACTACTACTACTACTACTACTACTACTACTACTACTACTACTACTACTACTACTACTACTACTACTACTACTACTACTACTACTACTACTCACACTACTACTACTACTACTCACACTACTACTACTACTCACACTACTACTACTACTACTCACACTACTACTACTACTACTACTACTACTCTTTCTTCCAGGTATTGTCATCAACTGGAGTTAAGATGCAGTCATAGGTTTATTGACCGGTGATTTGAGTATTTTAACTGAGGTCATCGGATAAGCTAAAACTCAATTAATCATATGCAGTGCCCCGAGTAACTTGCAGGTAACACTTTGATGACATCTAAATCCAGTGATTACTAGTGTTGGGATAACGGTGAGCTTCAAATAATCAGTCACGATAATGATATTTTACGATGTTTTCAGTAATTCTATTCACTTACTGTCTGAAGCTTACACATACCCATAAACAGCAGGAAATCAGAAACATATCTACTTTTTCTCAGTTCGATAATTATACCAGCTTGTGACAAGGAATGGGAACTTGTTCGCAGGTCTGTTAGCTAAACTTTAATCGTGACTTGACGCTATTGTTGGGTGGAGGGTACTAGGGGAATCCACCACATGCATTTCGTTATATTTGTGGCTCATCAACTGGATATATACCTCGCAGGGAGTGACACTGCTCTTATTTAGACTCATATCCGGCATCCATAACTCCATAACTCCAAACATCGAAATGTTCTCCATTAGTCCAATAACTCACAGCTGCTAACCCTTGCATGGCGTGCAAAGCTTGATGGCTTGCTTTGTTCTATCTTTTCACTGATTTAACCGAATCCTTTGGTAATTATCTCCATATGAGATGCTGTACAGGTGGATCAATATTTCCGGTGATTTCAGTTTCATGCTCATCATAAAATCAATATGCTAATGAGTAATTATCTCTGTTTCCTTATATTTTTAAAATGAAGTGCACTATATAATGTATACGATAGATATCGATCCATCCTTACAAATTTTTTTATCTACTCAACATAAGTCGACAAATAGTATACAAGAATGTGCAGCTGGTAATTAGATGGATACAGTTAATGAATAGTTGCGAAAATTCATACTACTGAGTAGTTTAAAGTATTTATTTCTCAGGATATATTGACCATCTTCCTTTGCCAAATTAGTAAATCCCACAAGAACAAAAAAAGAAGGAGTAGAGATTATTTTATCGATGCACAAAAAACTTATGGATAACCCTCGGCTCTTGAATATTCTATACAGGCTGCTGAATTTTTTTTTTAATGCGTCGATTTGTCGCAACGTGCTCTAGATCCTTCCATGAATGAAAATCGATGATTTTTGTGTGATTTTTCTAAATATTAATGTTGTAGTCTTTAAATCTACTAAAAACGTTTTAGAGCGACTTCCAGATACCGATTTGACAGTCCGGACAGTGTTGAGTCAGTTTTTCTAATGAGCGACCATCAGTCTTTCCACTTTTTGACTTTCAAAGTGAAGAAATCAGCCTCAAGCGATAGCAATTATGGAAATGTCCTAACAGTTGAACGCTTTTATTAGTAGGTGACAGTTATGACACTGCAAAAGATGAATAAATCGATGAGATGTAGTTTTGTCCAGTGAACAAATCATTGTGACCTCAGATACATCACTTTCAAAGTGACTTTATTGAACATGGGCATTTATATAGTGGATAACTTTACTTGAGCCCAACCAAGTTAGCTCGCAAGTGTGTTGACGCATGTTGAACCTGATTGGTCAGTATCTTGTTGCAATATTTCAGTTTAGAAGTAATTAAATGATTGGCTGATTTTCAATTTTTCAACGAAGTGTATTGCGGTGGTATTGTTCTGATTGGTTAGTCTGAGTTGATTGAAAATATTAATTTCAAAGCTGTTCTCATCACGGAAAATTGAGTTAATCTGATTGGACAAATATCTATCTTTGAGTTACCAGTACTGATCACCATACATAAGCCGCAGAGATGGTAACTTCTGAAGAGCACATAATTGCTAAGTACGATGACACTCATTCAAACTGGTTGTTTGGCTAAAATGTGAATGGTCTTTTGTCCTTGTAATTTCATAAGTCAGCTAGTGCTCTGGTTCATCATCTATCCAGCTTGGAAAGTTAGCTTCCTAGTTTAATTTATCGATAACTGTATTTTTGAGGTGAATGAGGATTTTTAATTTAGAAGTAGTGTTCACCATGGACTGACATCAGTTGGGGAACCATTGAAAACCTGGGAGCACTGGACAGCTGTTTCGTCCTAGTATGGGACTCCTCAGCAGTACGCACTCACGACCCGGCTAGAGGTCGAACCCAGGACCTTCAGGTTTCACGGCGAAAGTGTTAACCATTCAGCTACTGGGTTGGTTTCCAGTGGCTAACAATTTCTAACTTCTGTCAATTCACGACATAGCGCGACTGACTGTGGGGTCAACCAGTCGAAAGTGAGGTAGATGCTAACTGAAGATCTTGGGTGACAGCCACGCTATATCGTGAATTGACAGAAGTTAGAAATTGTTAGCCACTGGAAACCAACCCAGTGGCTGAATGGTTAACACTTTCGCCGTGGAACCTGGAGGTCCTGGGTTCGACCCCTGGCCGGGTCGTGTGTGCATACTGCTGAGGAGTTCCATACTAGGATGAAACAGCTTTCCAGTGCCCCCAAGTTTTCAGTGGTTCCCCAACTGATGTCAGTGCATGATGTATACTACTTCTAAACTATGGATAAATGTTTACTTCGGTTTAATACTTCTAGCAATCGGAGGGATATTTTCCACACCTTGCACGATTTCGTTAGACACGACTGCATAGTGAAAACTGTACAAAAGGAAGTTTCAGTGGTAGCTTGATGGAACATTCTGTTAAAGAATACACATATTCCCCTCTGCTTTCAAAGATTTTATGCTGTTTCCAGTCTCCATACAACAAGTGAAAGACGTCGGCTTTTGAGTCGTTCTGTTAAGCTTATCTAAGTCAATCAGAGTTTTTCTGTGCTTGAAGAATAAAGGTGAAGTTCATGAATGCTGCACAGGAACCACCATGTAAGAGTATCATTCTCTGTTACATATACTATCAACTTCGTGTGTGCACAGCAGGTTTACTATCTTGGCCGGATGTGATGAAATCGAGTCTTGAAGAGATGAATGTCTCCTGGTAATTATGTCGTACTGGTTTGAACTGTTCCCTTCTAGGTTTGAGATCATCGTTTCTGATTCTTCTCTGCTTAAGACCGTTTTGTAGGGATGAATAGCTGTAGAAGAAGTGAGTTTTATTTCTACTGGCAATTATCGAAAACTTATATCTAAAACCCTGAGGAACCTAGCGGTTATGTGTAAACCCACTCAGCTGTTTGGACCATAATTAGTTCCAGTTAAATGATAATAATTGGATTTTTCAACCAAAACACGGTACACTCACAAGTTGTCTCTTTCTGAATACTAACCGAATGGGATCAGTCAGCTTCTTGATATAGTTACCAAAGTAAACTTATCAGTTGGTCTGAAGTATTTCCAAATCTAGGCTTTTTGGTGTACAAGAACCTGACATTACTGGATAAGCATAAACAAAGGAGCTTCTGTGTATGATACTGTAAGTCACGTACACAAATATGTACAAAAAACGGCCCTTATTTTTCATAAAAGTGACGGTTATATTTTCTAGTGCTAAACAGAGTCATGATTTTGAACCGAGGTTCACCTATTTCGACCCTAGAGAACCATATAGTGCCTTATGTACTAAAATATAGTTCACAGTCTTGTGTAACCACTTGTACTGAATTGGTATGGAGTATCTGATTCTGAGATTCTCTAGTGAACAAACAGAGCCAGAAAGCCATATCCCTGAACTGAATGCTCATCTGACCACCATTAGACAAACAGATAGTCAATTTAAATAGATTTCACTCAGTAGATGTGAACAAAGTGTCAATTGTCTACTTAGGCTGTCAATGGAGTTACTATTGAAATACTTTGATTATAAACTGTTAACTGTGGGATGCGATTTAGGCACTTTAAGATTTACAGTTAACTACTTTAAATCTTTGTGGTAAGTTTTGTTCTTTGTCCAATTAATCTGAGATGACAATGGTGTAAACAAATGTCACTCAATTACATTACACTGAATTTGATATTCGAATTTCCTGCGCAGCCAGTACGGATCATTAATTTGTGTATAGGGCCTTAGATGAACTAATGCCTACTCCAGTTGACATCCTTAATCTACACTGTCAGAGAGTTCATCAACAGACCATCAAGTCAACATTCTATAGGATAAGAGTATAGTCTAGTAGATAGTGACCTTTTTTCTATCTTGGATCTGGTTGTCGTTCATTACACGTATTCTACGCCAAAGGAAAACTGTTGAAAACTGCACTTTCTTAGGCACCTGATATCTCTAACTGCTTGGAAGATTTTATAAAATTGTGGATTGTTTCCTTCTCTGAATGTGTCATGGATTATTAGGCTATGATGGATGTCATTGACAATCACCTGGTTCCTAAATAAAATACACTTCACTGTGTATCACCCTCACGCAATTAACTTGAAATTATGTACCATAATCTTTGGTGACAAGCAGCATAATGACAGAATCCTATTTCATATCATTCCATTATCACTTTTGGTGGATAGCGCATAATCCTACCGATTAGCCGAATGAAGGCAAATTAAAAAATTATACTGTAGACCTATTTTTATTTTATATTTTGTATGCCCTCATCAGCCTTAATTTTACTTCACCTGTTCATACATTCGGAGACGTTATCCAAGGTTTTACTCCGATTTTAGTTTCAGCTTTAAGCTACGGGCTGGTCTTCAGATCTATTGATGTTCCAACACAAACTTGCTTGGTCGGTCTCCTGGCTGAGAAGGAAACATCCAAGCAATGTATACACATGGGAACGAACATTTTTTGCCGGAGCATTCTGGTAACGCCCCCTCAAAGTGATAAGTGTTATCCCAGTGTCTCCCAACTGTCAGGTTCCAGTACATTCACATTCGCCGAGTAATCAGTTCGTTAACTGTAGGTACCTCTTCATGGCCAGATGTGCGTTGGATTTGTCTCATTGAAGTCTCTACAACCTTACACACCTAAGTCCAGATAACCTTATTGACAAACATTCCTCTAGGAGGCCTGGCTCATGAACCCGAAATGCTAACAGATTCACAGGGATGAATGCATTCGGGTCACTGGAATATATTTAAGTCTAGGGCCATTAAAACCGAAGT